AATCATAAAGGTGATGAAGTAATAGAGAATTTTGCCCACTGACTTTTGACCAACAGGATAAAATAAACTCTTAAAATAAATGTTTTATAGTTCAACTTTTTCTCTTTTTTTTATCGTGGTGCTTTTCCCTGCACTCCCATGTCAGGGAGCAGAGCCGGTATCTGCAGGCGCCACACCCATTGGATGCAGCGGAACCAATCAGGAGGCGCGGAGAGGAAAGTTTGCCTTATATGGAAAGGGGCCGCAGCTCGGGCGCAGATAAAGTCCTGCGAGTTGCCTTCACTGTAGTCGAGCTCAGACATTCGAGAAGTGCACACCTCACGCAGGCACAGAGGACCTCATTTACAGTGGTAAGACCAACAGCTTTTAGGGTTTTTGCTTATTGTTTCTACTTTAATTCAGCGTTTTTTTCCCCCGAGACTGTGTTTCACGCAGCTGTTGCTTCAAACGTAAAGGTTGTTTTATTGTTTAAAATATCTTAACTTGAGGTCGGGGAACAAGTGATGCCGGTGTTCAGCTTAGTAGTTGCTGTTTTAAATGGGTATTTTGCTCTTTGCTTTAAAATGTTTGAAATGTACCTTGGTTGTGTATGTAGCACGTTTAGATAAGTGGTTAATTTCTCTGCAAATTTATTTAAAATTTTTACATATACGAATGTATTAAAAAGCGGAGGTGGGTTTTATTTTTTGTCCTGTCAAATGGCCATCTCTCTGCATCACCTTACTGCTGGCTTTGACTTTGGAAGATGGCTCATTAGTTCATGTACATGTCTTTGGATGGTTGACTCATTCCTAGTAACCACAGTGCAGGGAGTGGTCGCATGTCGGTGTCATCTGAGGCTGGCGGTGACACCCGGGATGGTTTCCGGGCAGGTCTGCCGCTGCTGTCTCCAGGCTGCCCTCACTTTTTTCCTTATATGGTCATGTCCAGAGAAACTGCCTTTTGTTTCAAGGCTCTGGATTTGAATTTGGATCTGCTCAACTGCGACATCTAGCGTATAGTGGCTGTAACGGCAGGTTTTTTGTTTTAACTGCATCTAAAAAATTTTTTTTTTCCTATCCTAGAAAAAATGGAAGACGAAATTGCTGCCCTCGTTGTTGACAATGGCTCTGGAATGTGCAAAGCTGGCTTTGCAGGAGATGATGCTCCACGTGCTGTATTCCCCTCCATTGTTGGCCGCCCCAGGCATCAGGTACACACTTTATTTTCTACAGATCAGCTACATATGATCACAACCTTTAAACAAGCATTGACACTGATTCTCTCCCTCTCCAGGGTGTGATGGTTGGAATGGGCCAGAAGGACAGCTATGTCGGTGATGAGGCACAGAGCAAAAGGGGAATTCTAACCCTGAAGTACCCCATTGAGCACGGTATTGTGACTAACTGGGATGACATGGAGAAAATCTGGCATCACACCTTCTACAATGAGCTAAGAGTTGCCCCTGAGGAGCACCCTGTCCTGCTCACTGAAGCCCCCCTGAACCCCAAAGCCAACAGGGAGAAGATGACCCAGGTAACTAGTGCCACAGCTCTTGCGATCAAAACTTCCCTCATGGGTGGGGTTTGACCTGTAAGCATTTCTCTGCTCAGTCTTCAAATGCGTCCTGTTCCTTTGAACTTCTAGGTTTCCTCTCCTTGAGCTGAAAGCTTCTTCTCTTCAGATTCTTCAGGTGTCTGTTTTCCTGCACTGAATCAGGAATGATTTGTAGCAGCATGGGGCCTGCAGTTTTTCAAATTTCTTACCGGCTTAAGATGAGAATTGAAACTAATGTGGTTTTTCTGCATGTCTGGACTCTTTACTTAGCACCTTAATAAAAAAAAAAAAAAAAACTAAAGCTATGTTTTTGGCTAACATAATAACTTAAGTCTTGACTGAAATTGACTAAGTGCTAATTTCTCCTTCTAGATCATGTTTGAGACCTTCAACACACCTGCCATGTATGTAGCCATCCAGGCTGTGTTGTCTCTGTACGCCTCTGGTCGTACCACTGGTATCGTCATGGACTCTGGTGACGGTGTGACCCACACAGTGCCGATCTATGAAGGATACGCTCTGCCTCATGCCATCCTGAGGTTGGACCTGGCTGGCAGGGACCTCACAGACTACCTCATGAAAATCCTGACTGAGAGGGGTTACAGCTTCACAACCACAGGTGAGCATTAATGCATCAACTCTTTATGGGAAAGTGGCCCTAATAGTTGGAGCGCTGAATAATCCTTGCCAAATATCTTGTCCCTCAGCTGAGCGTGAGATTGTGCGTGACATCAAGGAGAAGCTGTGTTATGTTGCTTTGGACTTTGAGCAAGAAATGGGAACTGCTGCTTCCTCCTCTTCATTGGAGAAGAGCTATGAGCTGCCTGACGGTCAGGTCATAACTATTGGAAATGAGAGGTTCCGTTGCCCAGAGTCTCTTTTCCAGCCTTCCTTCCTTGGTGAGTTGCACGAGGACACCTATGTTTAGAATAAACTAACCTTGGAAGGGTTTCTAACAAATCATCACTCTTTGACAGGAATGGAGTCCTGTGGCATTCATGAGACTACCTTCAACAGCATCATGAAGTGTGACGTGGATATCCGTAAGGATCTCTATGCCAACACTGTCCTGTCTGGTGGAACCACCATGTACCCAGGCATTGCTGACCGTATGCAGAAAGAGATCACTGCCCTAGCACCCACAACTATGAAGATCAAGGTAAAAATGACTGTCAAAAGTCTTGTGCCATTTAAAACATTGTTTGAAAGTTCCCTTTTTTAACAACACTCCTCTCTTCACAGATTATTGCACCCCCAGAGAGGAAGTACTCTGTATGGATTGGAGGCTCCATCCTAGCTTCCCTGTCCACCTTCCAGCAGATGTGGATCAGCAAGCAGGAGTATGACGAGTCTGGCCCAAGCATCGTCCACAGGAAGTGCTTCTAAACAGACTTTTCAACTCCAAACCCTCCCCCTTTTCAAATAAACACTGCTCCAGTCCAAACAGGCTCTGCATACCTGCACCGACACACTGTGTGCTGAGTCGACACCTCTTCCATTCTGTCATCACTATCGCTCTGGCACTATGGCCCCCTGATGGGGGTAAAACTCTACAGGAAGTAAAGAGCATCCCTGGTGCTGTGAATGTGTGGAAAAACATGTCAGTTGTGTAGGTCATTCCAGATGTCTTATGTTCACCACCTTATTTGCCTCTATGAAGGTTTATTCTGTTGGGCTTTTTGCCCAACAGATCTGTAGTATTGCTTAATATGTAAGTTATGTAATCTGAACTTGTGTTTTGTTTTTGTACCCGGCCTTAATATTTGGTCCAGTTTGTCATCCTGCAAAGAACAAGGCTCATACCTTGTGTTGAGGTGTATGAAGGTTTGTGCATGGAGTGTCAAACCTCCCGTGTACACAACAGCCCAATAAAGCGCACATGTCTGAGATTCTTGTCTACTGGGTCTTGTATGTAAAGAGTACTTCTGTACAGTTATAGTTGGCATTAATGATTGCACTGCTGCTTTGAGGGCATGAGGTTCTGTATTGTAAATTTAACTCGGGTGAAGGGGAATTTCTTCTTGCAAACTATCAACTGCAGTGTAAAACTTAAGCAAGGTTTTGTTTTTTTCGGGGGGAGGGGTCAACTAAAACCTACAGAATTTAAATGCAGTGGGAACGTGGTACCTAATTGGCTTTTAATTTTAAAAGCTTTACTGTAGACTAGAAATCCATTTGGCATATGGTGTAGCATCTGTATTTGTCAAACGTAGCTGTACAGTTTTAGCCATATGGTCCTAAAAGTAATGGCTTTGTTTAATCCAGTCTTTCAGCTTAAGTTCCCTAAAGTATTTCCACAGGATGTTTAAGCTGTATGCTGCAGATATGTTGGGTACCTTATCCTACACTAATTGAATCTGCAGCTTAGAATTTTCTGGTGCGATTGCACATTGGCCAGTGGGTAACGGTGAAGTAACACACTAGCATGCAGTAATGTTGTTCAGCAGAATCAGTCATTTTTGTGAAACGCATGCTTTGGAATTATAAATTAAGCTGTTTAAATTATGACAGTTAAGGATGCAAACAGAAATACACTCTTTAGTAAAAATGCACTGAAAACAACCTTGGAGGAAAAAATATCTACTTTCTGTAAAGTGCAGCTTGTGTCACTCGATGGTCTGATTGCCAGCAAGGATGTCTGTATGTAGGGGTGAATCTGCAGAGACTAATTGTTCTAGATTTATTCCAGCTGTCCATTGCTGCAATTCTGGTGGGATCTGTGGCAATGCATCTAAACTTGTGTATCATAAACCTAGTCCAGCCCCAGCTCGAACAGGCTTACCTTCACACTTATCTAAGGCTTAGATCAGATTTTTTTTACTCAAGCAATTAAACTTTATTTTTTTGGCTTTCAAAATAGCTACATTTTAATCTCCAAATCTCTCCAGCCGGATTATGCACATCCACTTTAGGAAAAAGCAAATTCAAATTCTTAGAAATATGTGTAATTCTGTGGGGTGCTGTTTGCAAAGTTAAGCGGTTAAAAATTCGGAGCAATATTTATGGTTATTTAGCATTTTTTAAGAGAAAAATAGGGGGGTTATTTTTTCACTGTCATAAAAATCTTACTTTTTTAAATATTTCGTTTGGAGCCAAATATTTAGCTTGCAAATTAAATATTTAGTTTGTTAAATATTTAGCTAAACTAAATATTTCACAAAGTAAGATTTTTATAAATGAATGAATGACATACTGAAAACTCACTTGGGGGCTAGGGGTATAAACTCCTTACTTAAAACTCTCTTAAAACATGCTAAATAATAACCATACATATTGTGGTGAACAAAATCCACTGGAATTTGCTTTTTCAATTCAAAAGGTCAGAAATAGCGTTCTGCTCTTTCTTTTTTGGTCCCTTATCAAGCCTTATGTCTATGCTCTAAAATGCATCTACAGGAAGTTGATCCATCCATTAAATTCTTCCCCCTGGTGCAGCTTCTAATATCTTCCGTCTCGCTGTTAGCGGCCAGTTGCCCCCCCCCCCTTTATCTTCTGCGATTCGGGATAAAAGCAGACGGACCAGATCATGGAAGACCGGTTGCTTTAATTAACATTTCGGAAAAAACAAATAAAAAAAACAAACCATGAATGAGATTGTGTCCGGGGTTTTGGAAGGCATGGATCGACAAATCGAGCAAGTAGGTTGGCCAGTGTTCGTCAGGATGAGTTGGATATCCTACCATTCGTTGATCAAACCGCTTCCAGCTAAAGACAGACCATCCTAAATGTCTTTATTAGGCCTTCGTATTATTCAACAATAGCGGAAAAGAAACATAACGAATAATCCAATCTAGGTCACAGTCTGTTTTGTCATATTATTCACTAGCTCTACCACTGAATATATACGTGCTATGCTAAATGTACTATTTATCTCACATTAGTATAATATAAAACTGAGTTTTCTGTGCTATTTATGGTGACATAAACTGTCAGCAGGTGTTTCCAATAACTGCTGGAGAGTCAGTTACACTCTTCTTTACCGAATTCTTTTAATCTTTTTAAATGATGGAAGCTCCTTTTCAGGTCGTACAATATTCATTGGGTTGAATTGACTAGGCCACAACTTTAAATGCTTTAGGACCTTTGGTCTGCTGCACAGCATAAGCTTGACTTTATATAAAAAGCAAAAATTTCTGATCTTTTCTTGACTCTTGCAGAGTCTTCCTAACACTAACGCAGTAAAGCAGCGCCAGATCATGACACTCCTCCCTCCATGTATAAAAACAATGTTGTTTTTCTGACATTTGTCATATTCTCTCACTTTAACTGCTTAAAAATCAGCATTTAAAGTTTTTCTATTTACTATATTCAGTCAGAGAATTAAAAACATAATACCATCCCAAAGGACAATTTCTAATCACTTGTTTTTGATATTATTTTTGTTAGTAAAAATGATACAATGCATGCACATGGAGAACAGGTAAACATGTGGATTAAAGGCCTGGGAAGCTGTTTGAACCTGAGTCCACCTTAACTAAATCAAATGAAATCTAACTGAATATTTTTCTCTGTCTCTCAGGCTGTGTGTGACCAGGACACCATCTCTTCTGCCTTGGTTGGGATGTCAGATTTGTCTGATGAGATCATGTTGTGTATCCTCCGTCATGTCCCAGTCTGCGACCTTCTCACCAATGTGGCAAATGTCTGCCAGAAGTTACACGCACTTTGCTACGACAAGACCTTGCTTGCACATGTCAAATTTTCTGAAGAATATAAGGTGAAGTCATCAGAAACACCCTCTTTAGAGTCAGTAGTTTAGGACTGACAAGTTCTCTTCTTTAATGATGTCTTCATCCCCCCCTTTAAGGAATACAGGAACATTTTTGGTAGATTTGGTTGGAATGAACAAAATATTAAATAAACCTTTTACTTCCAGGCTGATGATCAGTTGGTCCGTCACACACTAAAGCTGCTGGCCAATCATGTGCAGTCCCTCAGCCTCAACAGCTGCTACTGGCTGTCGGTCTCCACTCTGGAGCTGCTGGCGCGCTGCAGAGGAGTAACACATCTGGATGTCACCGGCTGCCGCCTCACCTCCCTTTGCCTGTCCCGTCTCTTGTCCTCACTTTCATCCCTTAGATCGCTTGCGTTTGATGTTAGGCCCTGTTTCAACTCCGCTTTGCTCAGCTCAGAAGCCGTGGATTCACTGAGTCGCCTCAAGGAGCTGAGGCAGACGCTGTTTACACCAAGCTATGGCGTAGTACCTTGCTGCGCCCAACTCCGCAAGTAAGACTCAGTCCTTTGTACAACCTCGTACTGCATCATCAGTATTGATTTTTGAAAATGTGATGTTTAGTTTGCAAGTTAATGCTTGTCGCCATACTTGAGAATTTAGAAACCAGATGATCGGAGCATTGTAATGAATTCTAAAGGGGTAGGATAATTAAATATGGGCTTAAAAAGTTTATTGTTGGTTGTTCTTACAACATCTTAAAAGTGTTGCATGACAAAATCTTCAAAGTATTTATGGGGAATTAATACATTGGTGCATCACCACAACCACCAAGGTCATATAGTTAATGATAAGACTGTACATGTGTAAATAAATGGAGAAAAAAAAAGAATTTGGACGAAATGATCATATAATACTTCTGTTTTACATGTTTCACTGTAGAAAGTCGTGAAAAAAGAAAGGCAATGTTGGATTGTTTGTAGTTACTATCTTTCTTGATTATGCCCTGATCATAAGTACAGCACCTTGTGTCACCTGCATTGAGTTTTTCTCACACAACATTCATCCTTTGTTGGAGTTTAGCAAGATTACAAAACCAGCTAGACTTGTGTTTTAGGATTTATTTTTTCCAGAGGATAGTGTTGGTTTTATGGGATTGATTGTTTGCTTGTGTGTTTCAGGCTGATGCTGCAGTTTGACATCCCAGATGTAACTAAAGAAGGTGTCGGTGTTTGCTGCCAGCTGATGGTTGGCCAGAGCAGTGTGCCACATTACGAACAGCTGGAGGAGTTTACAGCCAGACTGGCACCAGGAGAGGTGACCTTGTTAGGATTCCTGTTATACAAACCTTCTACCACCTAAAATGTTCACTATAGAGATGGATCAATTTTCTTTTCATAACAGGTGAACCAGACGTTGCTCCTTCTCTACCTGGCCGTGTTTAGCGTTCACATTCCAAAGCACCTTAGAGTTTTCATCGTTTCAGTCCCCGGTCCCAATCCGGCTCACTGGCCTGCTGCTCCCTCACTGGCTAAGAGCCTCAGTCAGCGAGGCGATCTGGTAGCTCTGCAGCTCCCCCGCACCTGGCTGGATCCAATGTCCCTGAAACAAGCTCTGGAAGGAAACAGCCCCAAACATCTGAGTTTCAGCCGCTGCCCTGCGCTGTGGCCGCAGGCCTTTGAGTCGCTGCTGAACGGAGGAGTCAGAGACGCCTCTCACCTCATCAGCCTGAATCTCAGCGGGATCAACCATGTTCCGTACTCTGAGTGCAGGAGTGTGGAGGATCAGCTGGTGGCACGGACGGTGAGCCATTTGGCTGCAGCCTGCTCCAATGTTAAACACCTCAACTTGATGCACACACATTATCATCACGAACATTCGCCGGGGCTGGATGGAGAAACGCACCTCTGTGCCAGCTTGGGGAGATTCCAACACCTGCGTTCTCTGACCCTGCCTGCATGCGCTTTGTCAGACGGTGTAAATACGAACCACATCTCGGCGCGTAACTCTGCTCCCTCACTGCTGTTCCAGGGATTGAAGAAGGCACCGCGTGTGGGTCTCCAGAACTATAAACCCCATTCAGAGCCTTCTCCTGCTGGGGACACTACCTCTGGACTGAGCTCTCTCACAGCCGGTTGTCCGTTTTTAGAAACCTTTGAGATCATCGGTCCGGGTTTTGCCTCCACGCTGCCTCGGCTTGAGCCGTGCACTCGTGCCAGCGTTGAGCCTCGTGGGATGTGCGCTTGGGCAAAAGGAGTCGGAGATGCACACCTAGCAGCACTCGAGGCTTTGCCTCGGTTACGCCGTTTGACGCTGGCTGGACTTCCAGGAGTTCTCAGAGGAACAGGACTGGTGCAGTTGACTAAACGGTGCAGAGACCTACGTGTGTTATCCTTAGCCAACCTGGGATCGCTGAAAACCATGAACTACACCGCTGCCTTGGTGGAGACACTTAAACATTGCACACAACTGCAGGAACTCAGGTAAGAAGATGGCTTCACGTTTCCTTTCCCTTGTAGAAAAAAGCCATAAACAAGCAAATATCTTAATTAATAGTATTCCTTTTTTAAATTGAACCTTCTATTCAGTTATTATTTGGCTTAAATAATAGGGAAATTGGCCATTTGAAAAAAGATCAGCTTATTTTTTGTATTTATTTGATATTCTTTATTTCCATCCATCTTTTGCTCATCCCTTAGTTTGTGGTAAAGTGCATTTGTAAATCTAAAGTTTTCCTCTTTGTTACGTTTACTTAATTAGTGTATGTTTGTTTTAGGTTAGAGCAGCCATACCTGAACGCCAATGCATCTTTCTTTGAGGCCCTGTCCAGCTGCTCACGCCTCCAGCGGCTCTGCCTCATCTCACGTTGTGGCACCTTTGACCCTTCTGCCACAGAAGCCTTCATAGAGCGATGCTGTCATGTAGTAATGTGCCACATGTTCATGGGTGGTACCCTGGTGGCCTGCAAGACACTGCAGAAATCCCTGCTGGACCGGTAAGTGAGGGTGTTGTATTTACAGAGCTGGGAAAACTCATTAACTCTTTTTTTTTTTCCTGTTTTTTTTTTTTTTGTTTTGTCATTAAGATACTTTAGATCCAATGTCAAATTATATGGCAATATTATTTTAGTCTGTTTTTTCAAATAACATAACAGTCTATGATTACAGCGTTTACTACTGACTGATGTTTGGGTTTTATGTAGTTCTTGTATCCGTTTTTTGTATCCGAAATATTTCTTAAATGTTATATTGGAGTAGTTTTAAAAACATAATAAAATATTAGTTATCTTCTGTTAAATATTTGTATTGCCTTTGTGCAGGCATCTGTTGGGGGTCACGTGGGCAGTCTGCGAATAGCTTTTATTTTGTTTATATCTATATAGAAAATGACATTGTATCAATCGAAATGAAGAAATCTATTGTTTTGGCCTTATCGTCCATCCCTGCGTACACATTTGAATATTAGATCAATATTACCTGAATAAATACAAAAGGCAATTTATAAATGATGATTCCATTTATTGACAATAAAAGTGTTTCAAGAAAAACTCTACCTTTTTAGTATAAAATTAATCAAACCCGTTTTAGAATCAAGAAGAAACTTTGATTAACCAGACTTTTCTGGAGATGTTTGGTCTGGCCAAAACCAGACTTTATTAATACTAGAGTCAATCTAAAAGATGATTAAGAATAGATAAAAATATAATCCTTGTTATTCTAAGACTTTGGGACTCCAGAGAATTACAGTGAGACCCATACAATCAAATCAAATAAAGGGGTGGGAAAAAAATCCTAGTGGAGAAGTATTGATGATTGGCAACTAATCTGGGAGGTAAAAAAATAAATAAAACGACTCTAAAGAACAGCTGAGGCTCTGTATGACTCAGTTTCCTCTGTTAATGCTGTGTTTATGATTTAATAATAAAGAGACTGAGGATAAACAGCTTCCATGGAAGAGCTAAAGACTAAAACAGCAGCTGTCTAAAAGCAACATAAAAATCCATCTGACATTTACCCCCAAAAAAGAGGGATGAGCAAGAAAAAAAAAAAGATTGTTCCTGCTGGGAAATCCTACATACCTCTATTAAAATTATAATTTTTTTTTTTTTTCCCATGAGAAACATTGGTTTTGGATAGTTCATATGTTTAATAAACTAATTCCTGATATGAAAACTGATTTTTTTCTGTTATTAAGTTACTTCCCTTGATATTGCAATCTGTTTGGTGAGCTGAATCATTTAGTTGTGACAAAATAAAAAAAAAGTAGAAGAAATCTGCAGGAGGTTAATGTGTATTATGTAATATAGGAATAAAGAAGATTATATCAGACATTCTGTCGTGCAACAAATCTAAATTTCTCTCTTTGATTTTAATTTTTTGTCCCCTTTTTGTCAGATTTTTAGCTGAGCGTCCGGCGCTCAGTGTGGTCATCTATCCATTACAGCACGAGGACCTGCCCTCAGTCATCAGGGGGATCCCACTCACACTTCTGGATCGAATCACTCTTTTTCAGAGCCACGTGGCACAACCTCCACATTTATCACCGATGTGACTTCACCAATCATCTTCAATTTAATTTCTGCTGCTGGAAAGAAAGTTCACTTAAATTTGATCAGAAACCTGTTAGGTTGCTGATTGGGGAAACAGCAACAGTTTTTAAGAGAATAAGTTAACCGTGTTTACATTTGTATTGCAGGGTAGAAATTGCTTTTAAAGGACATTGACTCATTCATGAACACATGCTGCTACTTGGGCATCCCAGTTCTAAATCATTTCATCACTTAAGCCACTATGTTACCTTTGAAGTAAGTGCCAACAATATGTAGTGAAGGAATCTTTGTAAATTAAGTTTTAACTCAGCAAAGGTTCTAATAAATTCCTCTGAGTAATTTTTATGTCTTGTTCTCTGTGCCTGTTTGTTCTCCAAAATCAGCAGTCTCTAATGATAAGAATGCTAATGGCTCCCAAAGATGAGCAGGAAATCAGGTCAGTTGTGTAGTTTAATGGCTTGTAGCAGTATTTCATTTCTTAGAGGTGTGGCCAGCAGCAGGACACATAGATTATGAAGCTAAAGCTAAAAAATAAGATTTCAAAGACTTCAAGCTGGTTAGATGGATTGAATTATGGTATAGAAATTAACTGATGGTGCAGTTCAATGTAATTCCACAAGAATTGTCCAATCTGATCAGCTTCATTGTAAATTATCAAAAGCTTGTATTCTTGTGACGTAGTAGAGATATAAGGCGTATTTCTGAGACATAGAGGAAAGAAGGAGACAAGCAGGAGGATTGTTGATGTTCCTCACAGACTGTTAAATGAAACAGTCCTTCAGTTTATTGGATCTGGACCGAAGGCGCTATAGTCTGACAAAATGCTGCCTAAACAAGGAATGTAGGATAACCACCAAAGAGCACAAGAAACTTAACACATATTTCCATTCTAACAGAGTTTATAGTCAGATGAATTAATGAAAGGCATCCCTTCCTTGTGCCTAGAATAAAAAATAGAATAGAACAAAAAATTCCTTTATTGTCCCAAAATGGGGAAATTGTGGTGTTACAGCAGTAAGAGGTAATAGTCACACAATGTGGACCTTAGAAAAGTGTATAAAAATGACACATAAGAAAATAAAACAAAGTATTGTGTGTACATTATTTTACAATATAAATACTATGTATCTGGATAATAAATCAATAACAGCTAGGGACATTTTTACAGTAATGGATATGTAAAAAATAGCTGCAACACCAGAAATGTGCAAAAAAAATGACAGCAGCGTGTTATTTAACTAAGACAGAAATTTTGAAGAAAATCAGCATGACTGTAACAATTTATTGTGGTTGTTGGGAACAGTGATAGTTATACAGTCTTAAAGCTGCTGGGAGGAAGGATCCGTGATAATGCTCCCTGGTGCATTTAGGGAGCAGCAGTCTGTCACTGAAGGAGCTTTCTAGTTCAGCAGCAGCTTTGTTGCATGGGGTGGGAGACATTATCCATCAGATATGTTAAAATAGTTAGGGTCCTTTGGTTTCACTTTTGTTTTTTTGGTATCAAATAAATCTAAATCATCCTTACCCTCAGCCACCCTGCTTCAGCTATGAGTTCAGTGGGTTGTTTTTTTCTTCAGTTATTTCAAGCAGTTCATAATCTGATTTAGGGGTGAGGCTGCTATGTCTGCTTTCATGAATATTGCCAACTACCATTCACAGCTTTTATTTACTGTATAACTTTTGCATTGTAAACTAATTTATTTCAAGTTGTTTAGAATGACCTCTTTTCTAAACTGAAGTGAAACAAAAATGAATATGCCAAAGCCCTTGCTGATGATTTTTTATCTTGGCATGTTGAATTACACCAGAATGTTCCAGAGGGGCAACCTGCCAAAACTCCTGCTTTAACTGCATTTTTACATGTTTAATTGCACTTGAAATAATTGCATTTTTTGTTTTTGTTTGTTTTTGTTGATGTTTATATAAAGCTGTGAAAACTTAAAAAAGAAAAAAAAAAAAGAAATAATTGCATTTTTTAAGCAACTGAGTTTTTCTTTTAAAATCTGAGTGACAAGCAAGCATGCCCTAAATTTGTCTTTTCTTTTTTTAATGTGATCTAGTTTATATAATAAACATGGAATGTGTGTATTATTATTATTATTATTATTATTATTATTATTATTATTATTATTATTGCATGTTTTTGTACACTGAGGGTTATTTTAAAAATAATTGTTAAACTTGGAAAAGATCAGATCATATTAATTTAACTATGAATTTAAAAGATATAACATTTGTTATATTTACCACTCGGTCACATTGTTAAATTTTCAATTCAGTTTATTTATATAGCGCCAATTCACAACACATCTCAAGGCACTTTACAGTTCACCAGATCATACAGTCAAATTGATTCAAAGTTTTCTATCCAGGGAAAACCAGTTGATTGCATCTATTCATTGACTCAAAGCAATCCTTCACACTAAGCATGCTTGTAGCGACAATGGAAAGGAAAAACTCTGTTTTAACAGAAAGAAACCTCCAAAAAAACCAGGCTCAGTGTGAGCGGCCATCTGCTGAGGGAAAATGGGTTATTTCAAAATACCCTAAAGTTAGAAAAGGAAAAAAAGAAATCAAATGGATACAAAATGACCAGGGCCAAATTAGGAACGGTTTGGGATAATAAATAAGAATTATTAAATTACTTTTACATGTTTTTTCATCCCACAGTATGATCTGGAACATTTTTTTTTCTGATGCTTTACAAGACTTGGTTAGAAATGAACGGTGGATGTTTTTTCTTCTGCTCCTTTTCAAATTACTTTGAAAAAATAATCCCTCTGCGATTAAGATGGAATATATAACGCAAATAAACACAGTTTCATTATTGTTGCTTTATTTCAGTGCTTTTACTTTTCAATCTGTGACTTCCACGTATATTTGAAAACTTATCAAAATTTTAAATACGAGACGCAGTTGTTTTTATGGCCGGTAGGTGTCAGTGTGTTGTGTTTCGCGGCAGGCGTAATAATACATTGACGATATTATCGACACAAATCGTGATTGGAAACTTTTCCACTATCTAATTAAGCATCAAGCAAAACGTTCACTTGGTTGTTTTTATTCAGTTCTTTTCAAAAATTCTTCATTTGTTTGCTTTTACTCGGAAAAAATTGTTCTCTTTAATTGGTGGATCCGTATCTATTATTCAGGTCTGGGCCATTACGTCATACAAGCATGGCGGCTCACATCTTCTAATCAAACGTTGGAGGTCTAGTTTATAAAAAAATAGATCTGTTATGGCGGAGGTTGTTCAAGCTTGAAGATGTTAGCTGTCAGGTGTTGTCTACGGCAGCGGAGTAAAATATCAGTGGCTAGTTTTTCTCTATTTTCTTCTCAGAGGACGACTTTTAAAACACTGATAGGAAAAACAGACCGAAGGTTCACTGTCCTTCCTTGTCGGCTCTCTGTGGATCACTCCGCCAGGTTCGTGTCCCTGTCTGCCTCCTCCAGAGCTGATGCTGGAGCCTCACCTGAGCAGGAGAACTTTGGTTCTCTCTCGGAGGACATTTCCTCCAGGAGGTCGTTCAGGAAGAGCAGCCCGGACCTCCGAGACCTGCGACACGAGCGAGAGTCCATGGAGGAGGAACCTCTGAGGAGACCTTTGAGGAGAAATACCCCCTACTGGTACTTCTTACAGTGCAAGAAACTGATAAAGGAGAAAAAGGTTGGGGAACTGTGATATGGATATGGCTTTCTTCACCTTCTTCGGTTTATATTAAGGTGTTTTTATTGGTGTTGCAGCTGCAGGAGGCCCTGGATCTGTTCAGCAGAGACATGCTGCAGGAGGAGAGGCTGCAGCCAGAGGAGTTCAACTACTCTGTGCTTATAGGAGGCTGCGGTCGAGCCGGACAGCTCAAAAAGGCCTTCAAACTCTACAATGACGTAAGAAAAAATGTCTTAGATTGACCCAGAATTATTATAAAAATTATTGCTATTGACTTATGTTTCATTTAGGCCCTGATCCCACTGCAGGCAATGTGGCCCAAATGTGTTGTTTATTTTAGGGGGTGAAATGACCAGTTCAGGCTCTTTGGAACCAATGTGAGGCTGCTCACCTCTCAGGAAGTGGCCCAGATTAACAATTAAAAAGGCATTCATACATCTCCAGTCTGCCACATCATCATAAGGTTAAGGGTCTTGCTCAAACCAGAGTGGCCGTCTGTGGGAGTGCGGCTCCAACTCAGACCCTCTGTATCCCAAGCTACATGCCCTAACCACCAGGCCGCCACTCCCCTGACTCGTATCTGATCTTATGGAATGTGACCGCAGTCGGATTAGTGATCTTGAGGTTTATCTCAATCCAATTTGTCACAATATTGTTCTGCTCAGCAGGAAACGGACAGAAGCTGGGATAGCAATGCTGCAAATCTAAACAATAAGTAAAATAAACTATTTATCCTTCATTTGAGAAGGTACATTATATTATCTGCTAATGTAATTAGCACTTAGTAAGATAATTAGATGATATGAAATAACATAACGGTAGTTTTCTTATTTCAAATGGAAATTTATCTTATTCCAAATTGTCTCACTTACTTGCTCAAATCAGGAAAAATGTGAACGACCACATAAAAAAAAAAAAAATTTGAGCATTTAAACCTTTATTACAGTAGGGCTGTTAGATTCCAGTTGAAGGGCTGTCATCCTATAGATTCCTCTCTGCCTAAACACACCTAGTTTAATTTGACTTCAATTAATAAGGGAATTAAGCAATTCGATGCAAGTGTTTTGAACCACGGAGATATCTAGAAGTTGCGGGATACTGGCCCTTGAGGACTTGAGTTTGTTATCACTGAGGTTTTAATGTCTCCTAAAGCACATTATGTACTTTTGAAAACAAATATTTACATACATTTTATAAGATGATACCATTTCTGTCTCTCCCTGACATTGAATCCAGTTAAACTTTTACTGTTGTAGGTCAGTATTAATAGAGGAGCATGATTTTTATATATAATATTAGAATATCTTTAAAAACAGTCATATCAGTGAAAGCACAAAGGGACTTTTTGAAGATGTTGATCGAAGCCAGTTTGCTGTGTTACTGTCCACGGTGAAAGGAGACCTGCGTCAATATGGGCTGAAAGCAGGCTTAGCCAGATTAAAAAAAACATTTTGTGTTGAAAGGGGAGAGGCTGCAACTCTGAAAGTGTGGAGGTAGCAACATCATGGTTTGGTTTTGTGCCACATAAGGGACTGGTGCGGATACGGACATTGTTAACGAACATTAAAATTTGGGTGCTAATGGAAAATAGAAAACACTAAAGCTTAGTATTTAACTCGTTTAAGTATATTAGAGTGATGCTGGCCCCAAACTTCTTTTGCATCCTTGATTCTGTCCTCCT